TTTGATAATAGGGTGGATACCGATAATTTACACAAAAAAAAAAAAAAAAAACCAAAAAAAAAAAAAAAGTCATTTGAACTAAAAAAAAAAAAAAAAAGTTCATTGAACTTAATTGTTTAAGGTTAAATTTATGTATTATTATTTAGGCTAAATAATAAAAAAGTTTAGGCTTTGACTGTTTTTGTAATTTTACTCAATACTTTTCATTTTGACAATTGTGGCAGTGAACTTATTATTATTATTATTATTATTACGATTATAGCCTTTGTTGTATGTCCATTAAGAGTCCTTAACATTGTATTTGTGGCGTCCATGTTTTGTTACTGTTAGTGCCACATTACCAAATGAAAAAAGAGTAAAAGAACCTGAACTTTTGTCATTTTTGTAATTTTAGTCGGTTCTTTTTATTTTGGCAATTGATGTCTTTGAACTTATTTCTTTCTTTCAAATTTTTAGTTTTTTAAATTTTATTTATTTTAAAACAAATTCATTCTCGGTTACTATAATTTATTTTTTAATTTCAAATTTTCAAATTTAAATTGAATGGAAAGTATATAATGTATTTCTGCGTTATAATGATATTTTAATATTTTGAAATTAAATTCTTATTTTTATAGGAGATTAATTATTAATTAAGTGAATAATTAGATATTAATTTTAAATAATAAATTACATAATTAGATAGACTAATAGGCTGTAATTTGGAGAATCATTCAAGAAAAACTAAATTTTACATGATTAAATCATAACTATTTATATGCTAAGTATGTATATGCAAATACTGTGTAACACACAAATGGCATTTTCAAAATAAAAAAAAAGCCAAAATTGCAAAAACAAACAAAGTACATGATTTTTTTATGATTCAGCTTCTCTTTTCTAATGACATTGCCTGTTGATGTGGGGTTGATCTTTCAAAATATGGATCATGCTGACAGTCATATCAACAACTTCATAATGAACACAAGAGAAAGGTTATAATTGCAATGAAAAATAAATTCAGTGCCACAATTATAAAAATAAAAAAATTGACTAAAATTATAAAAAATACCAAAATTTAAGCTTTTTTTAATCATTTAGCCTACTATTTGAATATTTATAAATATACTCGATTAGGTTCATCAATCACTCAAATTGAGTATTATAGTACACGAATTTGAGTCGACTCATCACTCGAACTATTTGAATTTAAACTCAACCTATTAAAATCAAGTCAAAATTGAATATATACAACCTATTTAAAATCAAGTCAAAATTGGAATATATAGTATATATATATATATTATATATATATCATATATCATATATAATATATATATAATATTATATATTATATTATATAATAAAAAAAAACTAATTATTATATATATAATAAAAAAAACTAATTATCAATATCAATATCAATAAAAGATCAATAATAAAAAACTCTATCAAAATACCAATAAATTACTGACAAAATCAATTTATTTTATTAAAATATGCATTAAAATTAATGATAAATAACGAAAAAATTATCAATAAAAAATTATATTTTTAAATTTTCATAATTAATTTAACGACAAAATAACTACAATATCTTACCGATAAAATTTTTCTAATTTTTACAATAACATTAGCGACAAAAATAAATAAATTTAGTGACAAAATTTTGTCGTTAATTTACTGGAAAAAATTTTTTGTCACTATATTTTTAGCGACAAGGCTTTAACAACTACAAAATATTTATCGCTATTTTGTCGATAATATGCTAAATTAGTGGAAAAAGTAAGGAATTAGAGACCAAATTTTTTTATGGTAATTCCTTTTATTCTTGTAGTGAAACGAACATAAATAAATTAAACTGGTAAAGTAAAAATCTCTAGTAGTTATACATATATTGGTTTTTTTTGGAGAATTGTAATTGATTGATTTTCCTGAATTAAGTTATTTATTTTTAGTTTAAATAACTAAAATTCTATATTTGATAGTCAAAATAATAATAGGATTAAATTTTAATACTTTCTACATAAAAGAAAAAGATTTGTTCAACAACACTTGAAGTCATTTCTCTATTGTAATAATTCAACAATTTGGTAGAAAGATTAATTTCTCTATTGTAATAATTCAAAATAGTTTCTTACTTTCTTTTTCTATAATGGATTTGATGAAGTAACAACAAGATGGATAGATGCTGGAGCTCTGAAATTAGATGGTCATATTCCATGTGTGAGCTATGAGGATTCAATTTATTTGTTGAATGATAATAATGAATATTGATATTCCAAAAATATAACTAAACGCCAAGTCATAATCTAGTGATAATTGTATATATAGTTTGATAATAAATTTACGTTCGAATTAATTGATATTTGAAATTCAATTTTAATACCCTTACATAAAATCTTTTTAGCTCTATTTATAGCCTGTGCCCAAATCTAAAATAGAAAATTGGAATCCTTCTAAATAGTCAAAATAATAAATCTTTATTTTACTTTTCCTATTAAAAAATCTATATAGAAAAATTATACAATATATTTGTACTTATTTTCTTAAATAATAAAAAAAATCCTAACATTTACTGTATCATTTGTGTTTATCTTTTAACCGATGTTCACTTGGGTTGTTCTTATCATTGATATCTGGGAATATATATTGATCCTCGATGGGACCTACAATGTTGGAGTTGGTCTGGTTTGCTTTCAAAACAATTATAAGGTCAAAAAGCTTTCTATGCATCTTTTCTCAATACATGCAGAAAGGTACATTAATAGATTATTAAATTCTAATACTACCGTGTAAATATTTATAATTGTTAAACCATTGGAACGATGATTTACTTACGCTCCGTGTATATAATTAATTAATATAACTGTAATTCGGTTTATAAAGAATGCTATCTCTGTTTTATAATATTTCGAAAAGAACTATTTTTTAAATGTAATAATTACTATGAAACGGAGATATGCATATATACAGTGGAGGTATGTATTTTCCGTTAAATTAAATTGATTTATATTTTATTTTTTGGGATTTTCAGATGTGTCTTCATGATTGGTCGGGATAAAATTTACCTTGATTTACATTAATGCTTAAAGAGTAACCAACAAGGTATTACTGTGGCTTCCATTCCAACAAAACTAATCCTGAGAATCTATTGACACTAAATTCATAAGATGATAATGGAGCTTTTGAAAATACAAGGGATCTAATAGACATCTGTGTCTGAGTATATAAAAAAGATAGTTTTTGGGGGATGCAATTATAGGATCTGTTGCTTTAGCATTTGACTTCACTTTTGGTATTGTTATTATAAAAGAGAGGTATCATCAATCATCCCTAATTTCAAGGTGCATGAGAGTGAAAAAGCTTTACCACTTAGCATGCATGAAAGAGAGAAACCATTATATATATATACAAAGAAAGAAAGAAAACCTCTCTCTCTATTTCTTGTCTGATTTCAAAGGAAAGAGAGATAGATATATGAGGTTCTGCTGTCTACTGCTGCTTCTGCTGCTACCTGCAGCCAGGGAAACGAGAGAGTAATATATATATAAGAGTAAATTGAAGAGAAAGAGAAAAGAGAGAAGTGCGTAAGTGAGACAATACCTATTGCCGAGGATCCGACCGTGATCTTTTTGAAAAGATATTGTTTTTATTTTTATTCTCATTTCTCTCCTCACATTTAAAAACCATTGTTCACTGAAACTCTATTACAAAATTGTATAATTTTTTGAAAAAAAAAAAAAACTCCTTAAACCCAAACATGGGTTCAATGTGTTGAATTTTTGCACTTTATAATAATAATAATAATATTCAACTAAAAGAGGAGGATTTTAGATTCGAGTCGTCTCATGTACAAAAATTTCATTAATTTAATATGTCAAAGAAATAATTATTCTGTGTGTAGCTCGTTATTTTGAATGAATAAACGAATATTATAATATTCTTTTTTGTCATAAAATAGAATTTATTTATAAATTTCAAAAAATAGAATGAAAATTGAATTCGGGGGAGTTAAATGGATATTTTCGTATTCATATGAAATATGGAATTATAAATGAACATTCATTTATATAAACGTAACTTTTAACTTATAAATACTTAAAATCTCTTATAAAATTATTTTTTTGGCTAAAAGATTTATAAGAATTAGTAATATTATTTATGGATATAAAACTAAAAAATTAATATTATATAAAAGGAATTTGTCAATGTTGGATTTTGGCCATTAACCATTAATTAGTGACTGATTGTCATTAAATCCATGGTATGTTAATTTCGTCAATAATTAATTAATATCAAAGTATTTAAATTTTACTTAATTAACTCGTTTCTGATATTTTATTTTAAGCTAATCGTGTTCTGTAATACTATAATTCAATAAATGAAAGTCTGAAATGAAATGGTCTTTGAATCTTTTGTTATCAGCAAATTATATTATTATTATTATTATTATTATTATTAATCATAAATTCAAGAAAAACTAGCAAATGTTAGAATCCTAAAAGCAGAACAATAAGTCTTGCAGATATTAAATGACTACGATGACAAAATTAGTTATTGTTATAGTTGTTAGCTACTTTAGTAATATTAACTGTTTGAGTAAATGGTTAGTAGGTATTTAAGTAGTTTTTTATAAAATAATAAAACATTAGACGGCTTAACTTTTTATAAAATACTATTTTAACCTCTAAAAGTTAGTTCAAGCACTATATTACCGAACATTATAAAAAAACACTTTCACTTATCAAGACGCTAAAATTTACTTAAAAACTATTGCCAAACACAACCTACGTAATGATATTTTGAGTTTTTATTGTTTAAAATACAAATTTAAACTTTAACCCTCACTTAGTGCACAACCATACATACATATTAGCCCTCTGAGAAAGATTTAAAGATGGAAAATGCAAATATTGTTAGAATATATATTACATATGTTATATTCCAAAAATGTCATATGTACGAAGGTAAAAAAAAAAAAAATACATCAAAGCCAAAATTCTTAGTAGTCTCACATCTACTTGTATTTTTGGATCTCTTCATTGGAGCACTCATCAAACTTTGTTTTCTCTTTCTCCTAATTAAACAATATATCAGACACACACATGCACATCTCAGTAATTACCTAAACAAGGACTATTCTGTCAACATTAAACCTCTGTAAAAATCTTCTTAAATGTAGTTTCTTCATTGATTCAACCAACATGGTCCAAATGCAATTTAGGGCAATTCTTTCATATCCCCACCTAGACCATTAAACCCATTCCATGAAATGTAACATCATCCCCACAAAAGAAAAATCCCAATTTCCAACAAAATTACAAAATTTCTTAACCCAACCCCATCATTTTACATACATAGCAAAGTTTCTAATAAAGTAAATCAAAAGCTATTTAGTTCTTCAATGGAAGAAACTCAAAAAATGGGTAAGGAGTAGCATTCATGTCTGCTGCAACTGCTGATGTATCAGTTTCTTTATCATTAATGTTTCCATTGCCATCGCTACAACCACCACCACCACCACCACCACCAGCCCCACCGTTACCGCCAAGAGGAAAGAGTTGAAGTGTTTGAGATTCCCCAGAACCAATATTGTTTTCTTCATTGATGATACCATTGCTGAAGTGGTTAATAAGGCCATGCCCATTTTCTCTATAGGGGGCTATGAAGATATTAAGGTCATTGCTACAAGTCTTAATGAGTTTTGGGTCCATTGTTCTTATTGTTGGTGCAGGTCTTGTAGATGCTGTTGTTATTGTACTACAACTAGTAATAGTACTAGAGCAGTTAGTGTTTATGAGGTGGGTGGGAGATGGACAAGACAATTGCATCATTTGCCACGTGGCATTCCTTTCCATAAAGTTCCTTCTACGTTCTAATTCTACCTCATCAAATTGGATCCATCCATCTGGTGATGATCTACATTCTGCCACCACTGCTGCTTTTGCTGGCCTTTGTATTGCAATAGATTCCTGAAATTTTTTATTTTTATTAATGAAAAAGACCATGCAATATATTAATACATTAATAACTTTCTTGCCTTATTATCAACTTAATAGGTTATTATCACTAAATTAATAGATGCAAATTAGAAGTTAGAATAGTGTTATAGGGTTATCTAGTAATGTCTTTTCCAGGTGGGTGTGCTCCAAATCCAAAAATATACAAAAGGGTGCCCAAAAATGAAAATGGTCTAAAGTGCTATGAGTCTAAGTAAAATAAGCACAAGACCCAAAAAGAAACCAGCTAGTTTGATAACACATATAACAGCAGCCCCGACAGAAAGGAAGGAATGCAGCTTTTAAACCCTTTTCATTTCCCAACATATAAAGTTCATAACTTGTTGGTTCTTCTCTTATCTGCATACATTTACTTATCTACTCCTATAAAGATTACTTGTTCAAATTCTACTCCATGCATTATAAAAGAAAAAGAAGAAAAGAAAAAAAAGGGTGTAATGATAAGCTAATTATCAAATCTTAATTGGTATTTTATATTCCTTTTTGAAGAGAGATTAAAGATTATATATATTAGATTAGAGAATAAAGAGAAAGACAAAGGAAATAAAAAGAATGGACCTCTGGTAGTGTACTGCAGTTTGTAGAGGGAGCCCAGCTCTTGGTCTGTTCACCTTCATTGTTTGTCCTATTTGCCCCTTTAGACAAAAAGAAAAACAAAAAGAATACAACTTTATATTTTTCTCTCTCTAAAAAAACAACAATTGGAATTCTAAAAAGTAACCCAACAAAAACATCTCTAACTAACAGCTAGTAAATGGAATTGGAAAAGGCCATACATATCAAACATTTTTATCTTTTTTTCCAACCAAGATTTGGAAATATAACTGTGTAAAAAGGGTTTCTTGTATATATATATTCGCTCACCTGATTCTTTCCTTTCAAAGATTTCAATATCACGGTGCTGTTGTTGCTGCTGTTCATAATCTGGAGCTGCTGCAGATTCCATTTGACGACGCCGTTTTTGCCTTTCTCTTGCCTTGTGGTTTTGAAACCAATAAAATACATTCTTTCCTTCTATCTTTCCATATCTTCGAAGCTGCGCAGTTATATGTTGAATTTGCTCAGCCGATGGAGTTCTAGTTCCTCTTCGATATAATTCTTCAAGTGTTCTTAGCTGCTCTGGTGTTGGATTCCATCTTGAGCTTACTACTACTGGTTGTGTATGGATATCTCTCTTGCTTTGATCAGCCATACTCGCTGCCAAGATTTAAACAATAATATATTTAAATATTATTCGAAGAAAAAAAAAAGTCGCAAGTTCTAAACTCAGTTGAAGCCAAATTAACAAAGAAAAAAAGAAAAAGAATGCAACCAATGAGCTTTAACTCAACAATACTGGATTCGTTTCCAGAATGGTAAAATTGCAAGAAAAAAAATAAAATAAAAGCATACCCAAATGGTGATTTAGAGAAAAGAAATCACTGCCATAAAGAGTTCTCAGTCTTGGAGGGCTAGTGTTAGAAGTGTTGTTTGAAGGAGGAAGTGACGGAGTTCTTGGAATGAGAGGCCTAAGTCTTCTTCCATTGAAAGAATCAGTAGGCATGTTAAAGTCACCACCGTCATTATAACCCATCATCCACATTTTTTGATGTAGAAGTAATTAAAATCTTAAACACAAAAGAGGGTTTCTTTTGTTTTTCTGAGAATAAAAATGGGTTGGAGGTTTTAGACGTAGAAGTGGATAATAAAAACAAGAAGAGGAGTAAATTGGTTCTCTTTCTAATTTCCTGAGAGGGGGGGAATGTGTGCTGGCTGGAAAAATGGGTTTTGGGTTTTGCAGGAACAGGAATAGCATGCAAGAGATGCTACAAAAAATGGAAGTGCCTACCTTTATAACAAAGGTAATAGAGATTGTTTATATATAGTATATATTGATGCTAATAAAGAGAGTTCTAGTTTTGGAACGGGTTAGCTGAGCTGAAATGGTGTACAAGAAATTTAGTTTTTGAGGACTTTAAAAGAGATGGGGATTGATCAACTCTACATCTACAAACGAGATGGATAGATAGAGAGAAAGAGAGAGAGAGAGAGAGAGAGAGAGAGAGAGAGAAATTTTATGCATATGTGTTGGTTTATTATGGAACATCAAAAAGTGAGAGCGTGACATGAGGTTGACTAGGCTATTTTAGAGAGGGAGAGAGAGAGTTGGGGTTTTCAATTTTTCTTTTTCCAAATTGTGGTACCACTTTCTCAATTTTAAAATGTAAGAAATTTATTATATCTATGTATTAAAAAAAAATAACTATTTTTAAGCATCGCTTTTTAATAAAATTTGTATTATTGTAAAGACATTGTCTAGTAGTTAATGTATATATAACATGACAATATATTCGAGTTTAAATTTCCTTCTCAATACTAAAAACAAAACCCCTAAAGTCAAGAAGAATTTTATCTTAATATAACTCTCAATCAAAGCATGAATATACGTATACAAATCAATAGACATATTTTACATTATTTATAATTTTTGGACAATAAATAAAACTTTAAATATTATTATACATATATAGAGAATGTACATGAGTCTTATTTGTTCATTTTTAAAATAAAAATTATTATTTTTCGAACTAATTTAATCTCGATTTCAAGTTTCAACTCATAATCTCAGAGAAAAGAACTTCACTAACATTAATTAAGTTCATAAGCTTATTGCTTTAGTAGCATTCTAATTGTTTCCAAAAATTTTTTGGGAAATAAATAAATAAAATAAAAATATTAGTAGTAAAATAGTATTTGACCGGCACAATGAAAAAAAAATATAAATATATATTGAAGGAGAAAGTGTAGACAGAAGAAATAGTATTAGTATTAGTAAATGACAAAAGCAAAAGAAAGGTGGAAGAGGAGAAGAGAAGGGGAAGCGTGGAATTCTGGGAGGTATATTGGGAGTAGCAAATGAAAAACGACGTGACCATGATGAGTTTTATCATAAGCCTCATCACACTTTCTTTACCCCACATTTATTGTTCTCTTTATGTCTCGTGCCTTTCACACTTATTCTCAATCCGAACTGCCCCTCTCCTCTCTCTGCTCCCTTACCCTTTTCTTTGTCTACTCTTCTAATTACATGCATATCATCTCTTTTTTTTACTGTACGTACATCTCTTTTTTACCCTGCCCCTAATTTATAATTGTGCATTTACAATATTTGAATAATGTTTATATGATTTTTATTATCTTTTTTTCTTATATAACAGGTGTACTCTCTTCGAACCGTAAAGTGCAAAGATTTTTTGCTCTACCAGTAAATATATTTTCCGAATATTCAGGGACAGCCAGTGGGCTCACTTGACCAACTGATGTTGTAATTTTATCTAGGATATTATGAATCTTTATGTATTTATTCCCTTTGAATTTATAAAAATGCTCCTATTCAAATATGTTGATGGAATATATTTTGTGTATGTTATGTCCGTATTGGAAAACTTTTTTAGATACATCACTGTAGAGATTAAATTTGTACTCTTACTCTTACGAGAACTATGATCTCGAACGAACGAGTTCTGAGAACTTTGTTGATTTTGTTGTCCTTTTTTATGTTAACATATGTGTGGTGACTAGAATGATGTTACACTATTACGTGCTATCACAATTACTGTGTCTTATTTTTGGAATCTTCTCTTCCCTTTCGCTTGTCCCTTACTTCTGTCTCTCTCTCTCTCATTTAAATTTGTCGATGGTGAGCTACCTTTCTTACAGTACATACAACTTTGGTCATTATGAAGGAATGATTCTAATCAAGTGGGTGTCGGTGTGGTTTATGGTTGTGGTGCCTACTCTCTGTACTGTTTGGAATTCTCTATATAATTATTGCTTAATTATTATATTTTCAACTTTATTTGTTCCCATACAATATCTATAGCAAGTCAAAACAGGTTTTTTTTTATTATTTTTTTTAAACATTTACAAACTAATATGGGAGAGTTCTTATTGTTTTTGGTCTTTCAATTATTCTATTTAAACGCAGAGTTATATCTTTTATTGGACAATTATATTTAATATTAATATTAACCATATTGTATATAGATGGATTTTGGTGACCCGTGATAGACAATCTGACCTAATATTTCCAATATCTTCCATTCACACTTGACAAGTAAGATTTCATTGTGTTAATCTGTTTTTTTTTTTTTTTAATAACCAGGAGATGTAATCCTCTTAGACAGCAGAGTATAAAAATTTTTAACCCTATCAGCAAAATGTGCTTTCCGTAGATCGAACTTGTGTTCTTATTTTTATGAGGTAATCCTTTTATATATATTTATTTTTATTTTACTAATTTACATGCAGAAAAAAGCTTAGCATTTTCAAGTTAGTAAATCCAAACTATCAAATCCTCAAAATAAATCCAGCTTCACTCGTAAATGCTAAGTAAAAAAATTTGGAAAACTTTAACTTACATAAAATTGATCTCTTCTTCCCCACACTTGATAACGGATGGTGTAACCAGGCAGGCAGCCTGCATTGGAGAGCTCATGAATATGCAATTTTCAGGAATTACTATTCTTGGTGAAATAGAAACACAATTGTAATGTAAACTTACTGTATCTAGACTTGTCCGTAGAAGTTTTGACAAAACATTCTTAATTCCTTCCAGAATAAGAAATTTGAATTCTACAAAGATCATGTTCCGATTTCTAGTATCCATAATCAAATGAAATTTAGAATTCATGTTTAGTTGGTTTTGTAAGTTTGTTCTATAGACTGCATAGGTAGCAAACTTTTTCTTTTTTTTTTTTAAATGATTATAGGCAGTAAACTTAAGACAACAAAGCACTAAACATCCTTGAACTTTGACTAACCCGGTCTATAGGCTCATTTATGGACCAAATCAAGAAAAATAATGGTATTTTACGTATTGTTCTTACTTTATGAGAGCTAAGATCTTCGTGACATCTTGAGTTGAGCATCTCACAAACATAAAATGTGTATAATTATTGATCAATGAATGAATAATTGAAAAATAATTCTTTTATACAAGCTCAACTTCTTATAATCTAAACAATCTATGTATTTTTAATTATGCAATATATACATCCCTTCCAACAAGAATGAATAGGGATGAGCATTTGGTTCAGTTAATTCAACCAATTCGATTCGGTGAATAAATGTTTAATTAAAAATTCGGTTAAAAGAAACTAGATTTTAGATGATCAGTTAAAAGTTAATTGAATTAATATTAACCGACTCAAGAAACTATTTTGTTTTGATTAAGAAAATAATAAAATTAAAAATTAAAATATTTCAATTTTTATTTTAATTAAGTAGTGATTCATAATTGTGGTTAATTTTATTATGGTTAAAGTTGATTAATCACAAATTTCTATTACATCTGGTTGGTTGATTAAATTTTCATTTTCTTTAACTTCAGTACGGTTAATGATCAAGATTAATTCAGTCAAAACGATTTGGTTAAGTTCTGTTAAAAAATTATTTCGGTTAAATTAAAAAAAAAATCCGGTTAATGTATTTCGATTAAAAATGTTATTTATATTGGCTAATTTAACCGAATGGTCATCGCAACGAAGTCAGAATTTAAATAAGAGGATAAACCATATAACACTAACTCAAGGAATTACACGGGTGTGGTTTCTCACAAAAGCATAATCTCTGCTTTAAGAAAAATTTTATATGAAAAGGCATGTAGGATTTTTATAGTCATTGTAAAATCTAAAATTGGACCTAGCTTTTAATTGATTTTGAATGTAAATACATATGATGACTGGAATTACTTTGCTTGGGCCTATGATGCACAGAGCGTAACCGTGTCGAACACTGATACTCTTTGAATACTTTAAAAAACGTGTCCGATTATTTTTTAATTTTATTAATTTTGGACACTTTAATAACACTATTTGGACACTTTAAATACATTTATAAAAATTTTATAAAACTTTTAAATAAATTTGTAACAAAAATTTTAAATTGAGGTCATAAATATAAATTAGATAAATATATATACTTTAAAATAAAAAATTACAACATATATAAAAAGAAAAAACCCTAAATCATTACGTAGGGTTTATAATTTTTTTACCAAATTTCAATACACTTTAAACAATTGAATTATTTTAATTAATCAATGATACATTATTTCATATCAGATCAATAGTACAAGATAAATTAAATTGGACTGGTTATTATTAAAAAGTTTTCCTAACTGGATGCACATTCCAAAACTTCTATATGTTAGTACTTAATTAGTTAAATTATCATGTCATTATTAGGCATGGCCACCGGTTCGGTTCTAACCGGAACCGAACCGGAACCGAACCGTACTGTAGACGAACCGGAATCGGACCGAAACCGGCGGTTCATAATTGGTTCGGCACTAACTCGCCTACATCCACTCCCCAAGACTCATCTTGAGATCCTCAACTATGTTACCTCTTTTCAAGGGTAGGAGACAAACCAACAGTACAAGGCAATAGATCAATACCTAGATCTATCCTTTATTAGGCATGGCCACCGGTTCGGTTCTAACCGAAATGAACCGGAACCGAACCGTTTTGTAGACGAACCGAAACCGGTAGTTCAAAATTTTGAACCGGAACCGGCGGTTCAAGGACTGGTTAAGGTTCATGTGAATGTTAAAAAATGAACCTGAACCGGCCCGGAACCGGCAGTTTCGGTCCGGTTTGAACCTGATTCACAAACAAAATTATTTGTTGTAATAATACTTAATTTATAAAAAGTAGTGAAAAAAACATCATCATTGAACCTTTTATAAAACATCATCATTTATAAAAAAACATCATCACTTAATTAGCCGTTTGAACCTTTTTTTACACATCTTTTTTATTAATTTATATAAAAAATTGTACATTGAATAGTGATTTATATAAAAAAATAACTTTCAAGGTACAAAAAAGAGTTGTTAACAGATTAGTTTTTTATTATGATGTTTTTTTTTATTTTATTTTTTGGTATAAATTTATTCATTTTTAATCATATTATTTATTATTTTATTTACTGTAATTTACTAAATTATATAAAGGACAATTTGGAAAACTAATAAATGAGACACATGTATAAATATGATGAGTTGATGATTTTTTTATTTCACAATCAATTATATCCTAAATCTTCTCTTATTCTCAATCAAAATTCTCTCAAATTTCCATAGTTCATTATTTTTTCTATTGCTTTATTTTCCTTAATGTTGGAATTATCTGTTAAAGTATTACTGTGGGTCCCTCCAACATATGAGACCCACACGGTTTGAAGAAATAAAAAGGAAGAAGAAAATTTGTTTTCGGTGGACGCGTTAAAATAATTTTCTTAGTATCTTGAAAATAATAATTTCCAACTCATTTTCATTTAATATTTATCATTCCATTTATAGTTTGTTCATATTTTAGTAAATTAGCAAGATTTAAAATTTAATGTTAATTATATTAGTTTCTTAAGTTAAGTAATAGATGTTTTTTCTTTTAAAATTTTATAATAATTCATTTAGTTAATAAAATTTAACAGTTTAAAATTATTATTTATTTTCTGAAATTCGGAATCAAATCATTTATTATTTTTTTTAAAACATTTGCGTAATGCCGGAACCGAATCGGAACCGTTTATTTTGAACGTCGGTTTCGCCGAGGCACGCAACCGTTGCTGACCGTGGCCGGAACCGTGCTGAACCGTGCCGGAACCGGAACCGGGCCGGAACCGGAGGTTCAAGGGTCTGTTCCGGTTCAAAATTTTAAACATCTCGAACCGGCGGTTCAGTGAACCGGAACCGGCGGTTCACTGAACCGGCCATGCCTAGTCATTATTAACATTATTTTCTGTAGAGTAAGTTTTAATTAATTCAAGTACAGTTTATTGTCAATATACAAGATTATGTCTTTGAAAAAAGTATCTAGATGAAAATATATTTAATGATTGAACTTTGCTAGGCATTTATAGGTATACATGGATTAGAAATATCATCTATGATATTATAGACCTTTACAATTTTATTAATAGTCTTGTACACAGGTTTTACAATTGTACATCTTCAAAACATTATAGTTTTTTTAAATAATTTTTTAAAAAATATATATGGTTATATTTATTTTAAAATTTTGAATATTTAATTGTATATGAGTAAAGGCTGAGGTTAATTGATTGTTACTTAATAGTTTATTAAAACTCCTTCCAATTAGGTTTTGACATGAAGTTATAAATCAAAATTTTTTAAAAATAATAATATAATTCAATAATAATAGTTATTCAAACGATTCAACAATATCCGCGCGAAGCGCCGAATTACGACTGTGTCTATAAAATTGAATTGAACTGAAATGGTTCAATTAAGTTTAATTTTTCAATTCTACTTATTTTTTTATTAATCAACTTAGTTTTTAGAATTAAAAAAAAAAAACCGAACTAAGCTAAAAAATTATTTTTTTGTTAAAACTAAATTTAATTGAAAATTTTCAAAAATTAAATTAAATCAAGCCAAATTAATCTGTGCATTTCAATTCCGTTGGGTTGGTTGCTATTTAATTCGTAAATAATTTATTTAGCTATAATAAAAAAATAATTCGCCAATCAATAAAGTGTTGGTTCGGATAGTAAGCGATTCAATTCCTATAAAGGTGATTATATACATTTTATTACAGGAAGCCCATTTTGTTACGAGTGTGAAAAACACATTCTATGACCCCCTTCTAGTTATACTCGAAAGAAAAAAAAAGGGAAAAAAAAAAAAGAAAGATAATTCGCCCTTTGCATTTTAGCTCTTCAAAAGTCCCAAAACCGAAAGCAAAGCAAAAGTGGGATTGAGCTTGCAAAGATTCCATCTTCATTAAAACAAGGCTGCTAAGCCGGCAACAGTCAACACTTGCACTACTAATGGCATTAGCTACAAATGGCAACGATTCACCCAATAAACTCCACTTACTAACCAACACTTTACTCATCTTTCACTAGCCGGACAATTCTCCACCGTTGGATCATTTTCAAGCAAATATATATATATATATATATATATATTCTAGACAAATCGGCAACGAGGTTCGACCCAGGAGTGAAGACTGCGCACTGTAGTAGGGACCACGGCGACGTGGTTTTAGGCTGCATCTTGTGGCACTAGGCGAGCAGGAGGTGGTGGCTCACGGGTTGGGATTTTTCGAAGGGCAAATATAGGATGGGGTATGAGTAGGTAGTGGTAGGTATATGATAAGAGAGAGGTCGTGTGGAGTTGAAGGATATGAGTACGCTCGCATCCCCTGGTGCGAGTCCGTTGGCTGCAACACCCGGTTCAGGCCAACATTGGCGCGAATTTCTTCATCCAAATATATATAAAGAGAGAGTCAGTTGGCAGTTAAATATATACACTGCCATCCCCATTTCATCCTTTGGCTCAAAACACCCGGTTCAGCCAACATGCGCGAAATTCTTCACATCCAAGGAGGGCAATGTGGGAATCAAATTGGATCAAAGTTTTGGGAGGTTGTATGTGATGAGCATGGGATTGATCCTACCGGCCGGTACACCGGAAATTCTGATTTACAGATAGAGAGAGTAAATGTATACTATAATGAGGCTAGTAATGGTCGTTATGTTCCACGGGCCGTGCTTATGGACCTTGAGCCCGGAACTATGGATAGTATCCGGACCGGCCCTTATGGGCAAATTTTTCGGCCCGATAACTTTGTTTTCGGGCAGTCTGGGGCTGGTAACAATTGGGCCAAAGGGCACTACACTGAAGGTGCTGAGCTTATTGATTCAGTTCTTGATGTGGTAAGGAAGGAAGCAGAGAATTGTGATTGCCTGCAAGGTTTGCTTTCTTTCTTCATTTATTATCATGAACAAAATTACCAGATAGAAAGAAATCTTTCTTCTCCCTTTTGGTGGTTTTCAAAAGCTAATTCTTTCTGTACAAAACCATGCAGGATTTCAAGTATGTCATTCTCTTGGCGGTGGAACTGGGTCTGGTATGGGAACTCTGCTTATTTCAAAAATCAGGGAAGAGTACCCAGATAGAATGATGCTTACCTTCTCTGTTTTCCCATCTCCAAAAGTATCAGATACCGTCGTTGAGCCTTATAATGCTACACTTTCTGTTCATCAGTTGGTAGAAAATGCTGATGAATGTATGGTGCTGGATAACGAAGCCCTCTATGATATTTGCTTCAGGACTCTCAAGCTCACTACCCCAAGCTGTAAGTAGTGTAATCTAATAATGCAATATTTGCTCCTTGTGGGATCTTCTAACATTCTTGATTCTTGTTTCCTCTTATCAGTTGGAGACCTAAACCATTTAATTTCATCAACAATGAGTGGTGTAACTTGCTGCTTGCGCTTTCCCGGTCAGCTAAACTCAGACCTGCGAAAACTAGCTGTGAACTTAATCCCATTTCCAAGACTTCACTTTTTCATGGTAGGGTTTGCTCCTTTGACCTCTCGAGGTTCGCAGCAATACCGTGCACTTACAGTCCCTGAGCTAACACAACAAATGTGGGATGCCAAGAACATGATGTGCGCTGCTGATCCACGCCATGGGCGTTACCTAACAGCATCAGCAATGTTTAGAGGGAAAATGAGCACAAAAGAAGTAGATGAGCAAATAATAAATGTACAGAACAAAAATTCTTCCTACTTTGTAGAATGGATACCAAACAATGTCAAATCTAGCGTTTGTGATATTCCTCCAAGAGGTCTTAAAATGGCTTCAACTTTCATTGGGAATTCAACTTCAATACAAGAAATGTTTAGGAGAGTTAGTGAGCAGTTTACGGCAATGTTTAGAAGAAAAGCATTCTTGCATTGGTATACTGGGGAAGGAATGGATGAAATGGAGTTCACAGAAGCTGAGAGCAACATGAATGATCTTGTTGCGGAGTATCAGCAGTATCAGGATGCTACAGCTGATGAACATGTTGAGTCCGAGGAAGAGGAATTCTCCGAGAATTGACTTTGTTCGGCTAATTTGTTGCTCCGTATGTTTCGAGCAGTAATAAATAAATAGTTTGAATTTTGTTGTTGTTGTTATATTGCTCTATTTCCATTAGTGAAATGGCGTTGTACTAGCTGGTGTCAGCTTTGTTCGTTTGCCTTCTTAACTGAAATTTTCTTGTTAAGATTTGTGAAACCTTGAACTTGACCGAATCAATACATTTTCATTTATTATTAATGGGAATTGGTCAGATTGTGTTAGTTTCAGATCGAGTCATTTTGAGTTCTCGTCTTTTTTTTCTTTTTTGAATCATTTTCAGATTGAATCAGAATGCTTCGGGTTGGCATGTCAAATTATTCATCATATCAATTTCCAAACTGAGTCAAATTTATAAATTTTAAGTCGGATAAGATTATATCAACTCACTTTTTTTGGGTTTTGAAAATAAATTTTCACTTAGATATTTTTTTTAAAATAATTTGATGTTATTATAAAAATATTTTTTATTATTAAACACAATTTCTTTTTATTATTTACATTGTTATTTTTCACAAAACTTTTTTATTGTGGAGCCTAGTCAAATTTTTTAATTTTATTGATCAATACCGTGAATTTTTTTTTTTTTCAAATCAAATCTAACTTCTGTCTGCATTCCATCAAATTTGTATCACATGGCGGTTAAATTTAATTTGTGAGCCCATGAGATGCCTCGTCAATCTTAAATCGCCATTTCATGTAAGTGAAATAAAAAATTATTATTATGTACTTGAAAATCTTAAAAATTCAAAATGAAAATCTAAAAATTGTTATTTTAAAATCTTTTAAATTTAAAGTCTTTCTTCTAATAAAAAATTTAATAGTTTAACAATTTTCAAAATAAAAAACTATTAAAATTTTATTTCTTTTCTACCATGAGAGTTTCCTAAGTTTATATTTTTAGTTCAATTCAATTTGATTTTTACAATTTTGATCTCAAATCTTTAATCAACTTTTGGCTTTTATTTTTTATAAAATTAATGTTTTTCTAAATTTAGAAATTTTAATTATAAATACTAATTTTTATATATTTTAATTAAAAATTTGAGATTGTAAAATTAATAATCCATAAATAATTATTCCATATTTAATTTGAACTAAAATTAAAAATAATTAAAAGGTTTCAATTTTATTATTGATTAAATTTATATAAAATATATAAATTTTTAATTTTTAAAATGAAATATTTAAATTTAAATTTTTAGAAGTTTAAAAATTTTTAATTATAGAAAATTGAATAATTTTTTTGAAATTAAATAATTTTTATTCCTCGTGGACTAGTATTTTAGTATTGACCTTACTTTCATAAAATCCACATATCATATTTAACTGTCACATCAATACCAATTTGACAGAATGTAGACAGATGTTAGATTTGATATGAAAAAATAAGCTTGTGGTATTGATTGATAAAGTTAAAGAAGCGGCTACAATTGATAAAAGTGTCAAAAGTTCATATTTTTTGTTTTTATCATTAGACCTTTAAAAAATTAATGATAAAAATTTTATTTTATTTCCAAACTAAATAGCAATCTACCTTACTAGATTTCTCTTCTAAATTATTTGATCTAGTATAGATTTATTTATACAAAATTGTAAATTGAAATCCAAAAATTTTTATGATGAAATATTTATTTATTTTACTAGTCATGATACTTGATTAATCTAAAGTTCTTCTCATTATTATTTTTATGTATGCTAAAAATTTAAATTTAATTGATTCTTAATACCCTCCGAAAATTCTCTTTGGGAGCTAATATTGTAGATATTATTTATATATGAGAAAACAATTATTTCGTCCCTTCCGTCCATTTTCCCATTAAAATTATGTTAAAAGACAAAAATATCCTGATATTTGTTCACTAGAATTCAAGTATGACTCAAGCTTTTGCCGTCGTGTTCCGGCTATGTCCATTCAGATCAAGGTTTGTGAGTGAGTATTTAATAAATTGAAGCTTGTTTTTGTTGTTTAGTATAGAAAAGAAACGAAATATTCAAATATTGAAGAATTGAAATTACAATTAAGATCTCGAGAACGAACAGTAGATGGCCACATAGAGCTTTTGTTGTTTGATTAGTTTGAATTTTCAGATTAATTCAATATGCCCAAAAAGAAAGCTTCAAAAGTAAGCAGAAAAAGAAGCCACTGTTAATACTAAAGAAATCGAGCAATGAGATTGATGAAATCTTCTTTGGAAAGAAGATAAACAAACTTCAAAAAGAAAAGTAGGCATGAGAATAGGTGGGCACCCCAATACACAATAAGGGCTCTTATTGTCATTTTGAATTAATTCTTCCACATTTCTTTTACTTTTTCATATATTTTAACGAAAAAAATCTAAAAAAAAAAGATAGACGAGAGGACTAAGTAGTCTTATAGTAATTAATATTACCAAATTATAGGGACGAAAAAATAATTATTGTCCCTTTATATATTAGATTGGAATGACATCAAGTGATTATTTCGAGAGATTTTAGAAGAAAAATATGGCAAGTGAGGAGATTTTTTCTCATTATTTTAGTGTTGTATTTACCCCTACAAGTCTTGGATATTTATATGTCCAAGGGTCTAAATATATATTTATGGTAATTTTCAATAGTATTTGAACGTTTTACTCTTTTTTTATTTTATAATTTATTTTGTTTTATTCATTCTTTTAGGCACTTAGTCTTAATTGAGCACTTAATTCCAAGGCATTTAGTCTTATTGTTCGACTTAAAATGTAGAATAGAGCGCTTAGTTCAGAGGTGCTAGCCTTTATTGTTTGACTTAGAGCATATGATTGAATGCTTAGCTCGGAGGCACTTAGCCTTATTGCTCTACTTTGAGCATAGAATTAAGCATTTGGAGGCATGTAGCCTCTTTGCTTGACTTAGAGTGTAGCATTGAGCATGTATCTTGGAGGCACGTAGTCTTATTACTCGACTTAGAGTGACCACTCAATTTGCTTGATCTTATATGAAATGAAGAAAAAAGATAGAACATCGTTGTACAAGTTCAAAAATAACTTAATAAGTTAGATTGGTCTACTTCCAATGAAAAATAGAAAAAAGAAGTAGATTTGCAAATATGAAGCATAAATATATCAAAAGTGCATCAGTTCTGTATAGTATATAGTTCATAATTTAGCAATTGACACGATCTAAGGTTTTAAGTATAAGGTTAAACTTTAAAAGGACATGTTTAAGATAATAAAATAATGTTACATGCTTAAAATAATAAAACAATGTTAATTAATTTTATGAGGTAGAGAAAGATATACTTCTATAGGCAGGATATTAGAGGTTGTGATTGGGATGTTTTGTTTGCAGTTTCATGTTGGTGGTTATGGAAATTAAAAATGATAGATGTTTCTCTAGCTCTAGGTCTTCTCGTCCTCTGATTAGTAGTTTCGTTATTGCTAAGACTGTTGAGGTTTTACGAGCTTGGAATATAGCCTCCAGTCCCATTGATGATCCTAGCCCATAAAGAACCATCCTTGTGGCTAGACTCCTCCTCCTGTTTCTTGGGTTGTGTTCAGTTCTGATGGTTGTTCTACGGGCAATCCGGGTTGAGCTGGTTGTAGTGGCATTCTTCGAGGATGGGATGGTCACTAGGTGTGTAGTTTTTTTTATGAATATTGACAGCGTTTTTTTCGCAAGTGTACGAAATCGCAACAAGTAATATAGAGTAAGAGAGTATCGTATCCACAGGGATTGTTTATCAAGTACCAAAATTCCAAAATTATGTTAACCTATTATTATTTAGACGACCGATAAGAGAGAATTCACTGTAAGGTAAATAGAATCTTAAAGTAAAAAATATGAGAGATCAAAACATAAAATTTAAGTGAAGAAATCAGGGGATTAAGCTACTAGCGGAATTTTTGATGTTCACTTAATTCCTCCCCCCCCCCCATCCAGCTATTCTATTACAGTTCATTTAATACAATTTTAATTGTTCAAGTAGGAGAAAACAAACCCTAAAGTCACTAAACAAAGCTTCTCCCGATTTATTTTAGCAATCTAATCTAGTTTAAATTACCTATCTTTAATAGTAAAATTAAAACATAAATCAGATTATTAGGTTTTATGTTGTTTCTGCGGAGTTCCACAACTTAATAAGTATTAACTTATTGAAAACCTCCCTTGAGTCAAAATCATATAGCTTCCGCCATCAAGTTATTTATTCTCAACGTAAATTATTATCTTTTTTCATATCAATAACCCTTCTCCCGAATGTTAGTTATTGAAAATAACCCAATCCCAGGGGAAATTTTCTGCCTGGAAAGCATTAAGCCACAATAATAATTATATTAACGAGAACAAAGAACCAACAAATCTTAATATTTATAAACTGGAATCGAATTAAGTCTTACATCAAATCCCTAGTATAAAGTTTAGCTGGGACTAAGCTAATTAAATTAAACATCCAATCATGCTTTGGAACATTCATCATATTTAAAAGACAATAATAAAAGAAAAGAAACAAGATTGAAAAGTTTTAGAATTGAAAACTTTGTATCAACAACTATGTTGATGGCTTTCCTTGAATCTTTGGCACGATTTATTTGATGCTTGAATCTCAAGACGAGAAGAAGAATTATGCTAAAGAAATTGCCTAAATAACGGAGAGATTCCTTTGCTATGAGAAGTTCCTCTCTTTATATAGAGTTCCTGAAGGCAAGTCTGATTCCTTTTAGGAATAGAATCCCTTATTTAATGCAAAAATCCTTCTATAGGAGATCATGGACTGTTATAGACTTTTGATCTTTCTTCTTGATTAGGACTCCTTTTTCTCCTAGAAATAGTCCAGTCTTGTTAGTGTGTTAGGCAAACTCCCTGTGAAGTCGGCCCATGTTGCAGAAAAGGCCCTTTGCATTTGCATATTAAATTTACGCTGTTCCGCCTGTGCAGCCACTGGCTGCGTGCCTTCCTGGCACGCGGGCTGGTGTGCTTTAGTCTGAGTCTGGCCAAGTGAAGCACCGCGTGGCGTGCTTAGGCAGCACAGGCTAAACCGAAGCATTGAGGCACGCGGCGTGCCACTTAGCACGGCCCAAGGGCGTGCTTTTCTCTTGGAAGTCTGCCTAGAGCTGTCACGGGCGTGCTATGCTGACACCGCCCTTTGGTCCCATGTATAGCACGGTCGCTGCCTTTTGGCACACCCTAGCCCGTTTTGCTTTCTTCTGTCTCTTCTTTGGTTTCCTTGGC